GAAAAATAAATAAAATAAAGACTTTTTTTGGTACTCAACATTATACTGGAACTGAGTTATGAATCTCTATAGAGAATTCTATAAAGAAGTAGAAAACCACGTACTTTGTAGTCATAGATATTTTTGGTTTGGTTTTGTTGTTTTTGTTTTTTGTGGGTCCTATACCACAATAATACCTGTTGATTGATTGATAAAACCACATGATGCTAAATACCAAGATGGCTTGGTACCTTCATAACTGGTTGCAAGGAGAATGAATGAGTCTGTCTTAGATCAGATTTCCCGGAAAGACTCTGAGATGGGAATTTGGATGTGGGGGGTTTGTTGAATTGTACACTTAGAACAAAACCTGTGAGAAAGCGGGACTGGGCGGAGGAAGCAGTTGCACTGTGACACAGTTGAAACTGCTAACAGGTCTCAGCTGATGTTACTGGGGGAGAGGGGAGTTCTGAATCTGAGGTGACCCTTCAGAGTGGTTCTGAATTGAGAGAAGAAGGCCAGGACTTTGTACCCCCACATTAACCAGTCACTGGATGCAAGCTGCCCATGGGAAGGGTCTGTAACCCCAGATGAGGTAACTCCCTTCAGCCAAGGGCAAGTCCTTGCAGGGGACTTAACTATGGGTTGTCAGAAGCCAACAGCTCTAGGCAGCTGGAGAATGAGTGCTTCAGTCCCAAAACGGGTACCTGGGTGGTGCTCCACAGCATCTGCTCAGAACCCAGAGAAGTCTTTATCATGTCCTACAGTTTCCTGAATGCCTCGTGAAGACATTCAGCCCAGTCCCTATCAGAAAACACGAAAGGGATGTTCTCCCAATATAAATAATGTTCAGCATGATAGTAACAATAAAATCTATTTTCCACTTAGCAGTACATCCAGTTAAGTGTGATTTTCAAATAGAACTTTGTGAGCCTGGAGCCAGAGAGCACGAGTGTGGGCTTTGTGCCCTATCTTTTATTTCTAGATCAACAGTGGGTACAGTCTCTCCACTTTTATTTTAGTTTATTTTGTTGGCCATTACTACTTTGAGTAGTAGCATTTTTTATGCCATCCTCTTCCCTGCTGTCCACTAGGTCAATAATTAATCACAAGTTTGCCTGAAAGATTGAGGGAGAGGCAGCTTTGTAAAAAGGAAAATTCGCGGGACCAGGACTCAGGAAACCTGAGGCCTATTCTCAGTTCTGTCTTCTTTCTCTCACTCTCCCTCTTTCCCTCCCTCCCTCCATTTCCTAGGAATAACCATGCCTGCCCTATTGTACAGATCCAAAAAAGTAATGCACGTGAAAACATCGTGGTAAGTAAGAATTATAATACATCTGTAAGCTTTCATTATTGGTCAACTGCCCACTTTATAGTTACTTATGCAAATCACTATGCATTGAGAACCCATCAAATCTGCATACAGTTGAAAGTCTTGGTACACAAGGAGAGGAAGAACCAACCCACCCGGATGGTCAATCTCCATCCCATTAGCAGGTTCAATCAGACATTCAACAAATGCTCATTGAGCATCAACACGGGCCAAGCACTAGACACACAATGAACAAGTCTGCAGGAGGCGGCACGGCTGAAAGTGAGTACTGTGGGCTTCACTTCTCCAAGGCTCGATGTTTGTTCACGAAAGGAGATAGTACCATAAGGGGCTGTTGCAAATAAGTGCTTGTAGACTTATGCACAAAACACCATGGAAACTCATAGGTGGGTCACCCAGCCCAGCCTTAGGATATCAGAGACATCTCTTTGGTGAGGATGACATCCAAACTGAATCTTTAGAATAAAGTAGGAATCAGTCAAGCAAGGGGAGAAAAGATAGACAGTCCAAAAGGTTGCAGAGCCCTGGAAGTGAGAAAGCACCGGAGAAACTGCAGACGTGGTTTTCTGTAAAGTATGGTGTTCAGAGAGAATAAAGAGAGGTGTGAGCCCTGTGTGCCATGCTGGCAAGGCTGGCTTTTCTCCAGAGAGTAGGGAGAACCACTGAAGGGCATAAGGCATGGGGCGATGGGGTCACATCTGTATTTTTTTTGAATGATCACTCTGACTACAATGGAGAAGGGAGGGGACAATCCCTAGTGCCAGGAACACCAAAGTAGAGCCTGAATGAGGAGGAGGTAATGGGGTATAAATGAGTAAGAGATAATTAGGGTTAATATCCCATTAATTAATGTGGAAGAGATTTGGATAGATGAGGGAGAAGGCAGGAAGTGGAGCAGACAGGATATAACAAGATTCATTGAGCACTTGTAACATCCATGTTCTATCCATCCAGGCACCTTATCTACATCAACTCACTGAATCCTTACAAGGACTCTACAGGGAAAATAATCTTATCATTCCTATTAGTCCTGAAGCACTACAAGGTTCAAAGAGGTTATCGACTAGCCCAAGTCATTCAGTAGAGCCTGTATTTGAACTCCAGTCTTTTGTGCTCAAATCCTACATGTGTCCCCTCCACACGGTATTGTCGTATACATTAGTATGAAGATCTAATCTAGATCTAATCTAGCCAAAGTTCTAATCTAGAGAGATAAAGGTTGACATCACCATCATGTTGATGATAATTAAAGCCACAAGAGTAGATGGAACTGGTTAGTGGTATTTAAACAGCGATGATGTTAGCTAACATGCATTGAGTATTCTCTATGTGCCAGGATGTTTTCTAAACACTTTACATTATTTAATCCTTACAGCAGTCTTTGAAGAACATACAACTATGTACCAGGGGGTTTTGGGGAGAAAAAGGAAAAAATAAAATCTTAAAAAAAAAAAAATGTAACAGAGATTTGCCAACAAAAATGTAAGAGCCAGTGAGCGGGGACAGAAGCCAGGTTGCCATGGATGACAGCATGAATGGGGCATAAGACCAGAAAGACAGCCGTATAAACCACACTTTTAAGTGGTTCAACTGTGAAGAGGGAGACAGAAATAGGCTCTAAGTAGAAGTTGTTGTGGAGTAGAGGGAGTGATTCTTTAAGATGAACATATTTAAATACTGATGGAAATAAGCCACCAATGAAAGTGAGGTTGAAAACATTTCAAGAGAGGAAAATAACTGGTGGGACTAGGTTGCTGAGGATGCGAGTAGCCAGTTAGAGGAAATAAGCTGAGACAGGAGGAGAGAAGGAGGCAGGGATGAGGATGGACACATATCAGACTGTGTTCGGATCTGATATTGAAGGTATTTCCTATAATGGCTTCTATTTTCCAGCTGAAATAGGAGATGAGATTATCTGCTGACAGTGAAGAGGGAAGAAACAGGGTAAGAGCCTTGAGGGAGAGAAGAATATTTGCAATAGTCATTTTGAAAAATGGTAGTGACTCTAACAGAGAAAACAGTGAAGGATTACCAGTTAATACAGAGGGCTCACGTGAGATCAAAGGCCATGAATTTGGCATGCCACTTAGCTGTGATTTTGTGTGATTTCCTTCAGTCTCATTCAGTGAGACAAGAAAAGCAGCAGAAATATTGGTAGTTGGGATTAACTCCAAGTTGAAGACAGAAGGGCAAGGGCACAAAGAGTTCAAGGTGTTAGGAGGAGAGTGATTGAAGAAATGAACCATAATGTCTAGGCTGGCTTTAGATGGAGTGAAGATTGGTAAGACTAGCAGGGAAAAAAATACGAGGACCAAGGAAACTCAAAGAACAGCTATTTGGGAGTAAGAGATAGAGGTCTGGGATGGTAAGAGATTATGGAGATTTTAATATAAGATTTCAGAGGTGGAGAAGTTCTAGGTGATTAGAAGTTCCGGAATTTGACCATAGATGTATGTTGTGTGTCAGTCCAGCTTCTCTTCCTTTGGGGAACTTTCCTTCTGTCATTACATGTGGTCCTGGTTGAACAGATCATCCTGGAGCCTCACCCTATCCCACCCTCACTACAGGGATTGGCATGGAATGCAGGCCAATGAGTTCATCCCCTGGCTACAGTGCTTGGTTCAAGGATGGGCATATGACCAAGAGGAGAACATCAGACTCTTCTTTGAGATTTCTTCCACAGATGTTGGAGGCAGAGAGTCTCTCTTTTCTCAGCTCATGAGTTATAAAGACCATGTAGCTGCTTGTCATCTTTCCTGGCAGCATGGAGGAACCCATCTTCAGGAGAAAGTGAGACCAACATGCAAAGACAAGCAAATCAAGATAATAATTTTGAATCCCTGGATCAAGTCATGCTGAAGCTAGCCTACCCCTGAATCTTTCAAATGAGCCCTCCAAATTCTCTCTTTGGATTAAGGTGGTCTAAATTGGATTGCTATAAACTTCAATCTAAGGTGTGAGTGGTTGGAACAAAAGGAGATAAAGGTATGAGAGCTGAGATGCCCAAGAAACTAACGATATAGTGTTGCATGGGTTTGCCTTATGGGCATTAAAGTCATCCAAGATGAAGGTAGTACTTAATGAGCATGGCGAAGACACCTAAGATCCATTTGCAAGAGTCTTGTAGGAAGAGCAGACACTATGATAGTAGGCAAGCGCAATGAGGACCAGAAGAAATTATGTATCAGTCAGCAGGAGCCTCAAAAACTTTTATACGAAGGCAACGGAATAACAGTATGGAGGCTGCATAGGGGAAAAAGAAGCACACAGACCCCACTTGCTGATGAGAAGCTAAGTAGGATGTGCAATAATTGGATAAAGAGGGTGGAGCCTTCCCGGTCAAAGGTTATATAACCATGAAATGTTCCCCCAGTGAAAATTAGACTGCATTTCTAAGTCCTAATTATCATTACAATGTCAATAATATAGACATTTTTTAACAGCTTTTCAGCCCACCAACCCTAGACCTTGAATCACTCACTGCTGTTCATCTGTAAGATAGACTATAAGGTAAAAGTGAAATGTAGACAGATCAGGTTTAAATTTTTCCTAATGGAGATATTTTATGCATATATTTAAATGTTTCAGGCAATGACCAGAATGATAACCTCAGTAGCAATTACCACTCAAGTGTATTTGGTAGAAGAGTTAGTATTAAATATTTCAAAACTCTATTTAGAAAATCACATCAATCTAACACATTTTATTGGGCAACATAAAATATACATGGGTATTATGGCAGAACAAAATCTAACATAAAAATGTGAAGCTGGCCTGCCAAGTCTGGAATGAATGCTGCAGAGGGAAAGCCAATAAGCAACTGGCACTTCAGCAAAGAGGGAAATGGACTTATTAAGGGATTGCCAATTTGTCCAAATGTCAAATAGTTAGTTAGCGTGCATATGGACCATATACATGGACACAATTTATTTTTCTTAGCCCATATAGTCTTCCCTATCAAAATCCCTAGGGATTATATTCAAACATTTTTAATATTTCTGTGTGTATTAAAGATTATTATATATATGCTTGTCATATATTGGAAATATTATATAAACTTATATTAAGATAAATGGAATGTAATTTTGGATAATAAAGAGAAAGTGTAGTACTAACCACTATGGACCATTTCTAATCTCTTATGTGAATCTAGAGATGTAATAACTCAAAAATGGAAAAATAATATTATGATAGTGTATGTTTTTAAAGTAATGCTGTGAAAAGCATCTTTGAATGGTGTCAAAAATAAATTTACAGAGAAAAATAAAAGAAGTTCATTAAAGATTGTATTTGGACAATGAAAACAGAGAGAATGCACAGAAATAATCCCCCCACCATCGGACCCCTCTTCTATGACCTGAGCAAAGGAGAGCGACTTAGCCTCCAGAGACCCAAACAGTGAAGTCACTTCCTCCTCTCTGGGTGAGTGTGGGTCCAGAGCGGAAGCCACTGCATCTGTGAAGCATATGAGGGACCCTCCAGAGACTGCAGGCCTTCCTCTGGGAAAACACGAGGCTGCCTCTGCCGCCTGGTGCAGACCTAGCTTGCGTCCTCAGGCAGCGTTGTGTGGGTGTATTTGCTCAGTTGCAAAATGCGACTTCATACTGTCCTTGCTCACGAAGGAGAAAGCCAGGCAAAGCTGACCCACCCCGCAGTGGAGATCCTCGGTCATTCTTCCTCTGCGTGGTCTGTTACCCAAGCTGTAAGTGACACACTCGTTCATTTTCTCTTAATGTTTGGGTACCACCTATTTTTCCCCTCTTCTTTAATCAGACACCAATGCTTTTTTTAAGGGACTATACAGAAAAATTTCGTATGGCAGAAATCAGATAACCAGCCAAAAGAGTAACACGCTTTTCTCGGTGAAGAATCTTGTTTCCTGAAAAATATCTGTGAAATACAAATTTAAAAGGAAGGCAGAAAATGACAGTAATTCTTAATAAAACCCTGATCCTGGAAAAGGACCCTTGCTGTGAGAGCATTTGATATATTGGTGAATGAAAGTGTGTAAGATTTCTTTGTCTCATAGGTTTCACGTTAAAGGTCTCATTTTTGAAGTACTGAGACCAGTCTTGTTGAAACATTAAGAATTACCACCAAACGTGCTCTGGTAGGAACATTTAAAACAGGTAAGTTTCTTACAGGATCTCAGAACCATGTATGTTTTATCCAAATATTTGGTGTATTGCTTTTTAAAGAAATCATATTGGTTACCCTCATAAATCTTAGTTACTTTCAGACTTCAATTCTTGATTGTATGGATGTTTTCCTTCCTTCGTGCAGTCAATTTCCACCAGAACCACAGAGATTCAGGGGAAACCGGAGGGCTGTGGAGTAGTAGAGAAAGCACAGCCTTTGATGTTGAGCCAACGTAGTATACATTCTGTCACTCACCAACTGCAATCTCAGAGAGATAACACCCTCTCTGAGCCCCAAAGAGGTTGTAACATAAAAACATTAAAGCTTATCCATGTGGATATTATGAGAATTAAATTGGGTAGTAAAGCCTCTGACTCATAAAAGATGCCCTATAAAAGTTAATTCCCTACTGCCATTTCCCACTCTAGATACACGATCTCAAGGAATTCTTCTGGATCCTAAAGTGCTAGCAAATGAAATAATAGTGTTTTTAGTGCCGTACATTTACCTACGACAGGCACCTTTAGGATCTCTTTTTGCCAATGATGGAGTCTGCTCTGTCATCAAAGTATACAATATTCACACACAGATCCAATTTCAAAGGTTAGGGGAATTTGTGAAATAGAGAACTGCGTGCCATCTCTTAGCTTCACCTCCCTCAAGAGATGTAGCGTTCAATGAAGAAGTTTCAAGTGGTCTTTCAAGTGCCTGTCTCGCCTGGTAGTCACATCTTTGAGGCAGGCACAGGTGACAAAGTGATGCTGATGTGAATGGATCAGTCTTTCAAGACATTTGATGATTTCATAGTCAGGAAGAGCGAGGCTGGTCAGGTTCAAGCCCAGCATCTGGGAAACCACCTCTCTGAAGTCTACCAGCTGCAAAGTCAAACAGAAACACATTAATTGAGAGAGCAAAATGTATCAACTACCGCTAGGCCAAATGCAAGGCAAAAACTGTGAATTTTTGTATGAGGTGGTCAAATTACTCTCACTAGCCTTAATTCTCTCATTTATAAAATACAAAGGCTAGCGTTCTAGAGTCCTTTCAAGAATGAACCTTTGACAATTTCATGTCTACTTTTCTGATAAGCCACTTAATGTGGTATTGGCTACCAAGTCAAGAATCCCAGTTCAGCAACCATGAATGAGACTCTGACCTCACTAAAACTCCATTTTCTCATTTCCGGGGTGGGAACGACCATACACCTACCTCCCAGGAATATTCAGAAATTCAGATCAAATGAAAGGATGACCGTGTGTGTGCTCTGCAAACTAGGTAATGCTTTACAAACGTTGGTGTGGTTGTGTCTATGGGTGATAAGCACTATGCACTGGAATTTTAACTGGGCAATGAACCTCTTAAACTAAAGAAAGAATAAATGGAAAGAAAGCAGAGGACTTCAAAGTGATGATCAAATCACACAGATTGCCACCTCACAACCCATAACATTGGACTCTCTAAGGCTACTCTCTCTCCACCACGAAAGGAAAACTTGGAGGGTAGGAGGCTGGAGATAATGGATGAAATGTGCCTCGTACCCCTTCAAATTCTCATAGACTGGTTGCTGTGATTCTAAGCTAAGGCAGAAGCAGATAAATTAGGGGACCTGGGCAATCCCTCACTAGAAGTACCTTTCATTTTAGAAAAGATGTGATCCAACCTGAAGACAGTTGTCGCATCCAGAAGAATTGCCTTCCGAGTCGTCCCACCACGTGTTCCTTCACTTCCCAACCTCCTTCCTATGCTGAGTCCAGGTTGGAAACCACAATGCTCTCTTCAGCCTAGTCTCCCCAATGAGAAAGTTTCCTCAAACTCTTCTGCCCTTTCACATATGGCCAAAGCTCTGTTTCCCTCTGAGGACACTCTTAAAGTTTGGCCTTCCTCAACTCTGCCTGACACATGAGCCAAAGCAGAGGTGGCCAAAGAGGAAAAATAACCTAGGATCAGAGTCCCCTCTATGCCTTTTTGAGCTTCAGAAAAAAAGCTGATGAAAGCCAAAAGCAATGGAGGTCAGGCTGCCCAGCACATGCTCCCTTATGTCTGACCTTCTGATGGGCTCCGCAGATAAAACCCCTCCTTGCAACCAGCCAGCACTGAGGACTGTTTGATGGTTTACATCTGGGCTTGGTTGGCCATCAGGTCTGGGTGCCACTGTTTGAGATTTGGGATTGTTTCCTGCAACTGATCTCTGCTGGAGATAAGGTTTCTCTCCAGAGGCTGAAGCCCTGGTTAACGTTAGAAGATCTGGGATGATGCAACTTAGAGGCAAACAGGGGACACAATAAAAACCTTTCCAGAACCAGAACCTGGCTCTTCACAGGCTTCCCACTTCTGTGATAAGAACATCTTTTCTTTCCTACAATTCTGGCCATGGGAATGTGAATTATTTTTCTTGGTGGAATAAATTACAATGGTTCTTTTAATACCAAAAAGACACTAGGGGACAGGCAACTATGTTGATATGAAATAGAAAGCTTTGTAAATTGTTTATGAAGAAATGTATGAATAATTATCAAGCTTTTGCATTGTCCTAACTTCCCTAAATAAGGTTTCACCATGAAATTTCTACCCACCTGCTTTTCTCTCTTTTCTGCTTCTTCCAGAGACTTTTTTAGGGTCTTCATTTCACCGGTTATCGCTTCGATCATGTTCCTGGCCCTCTCTTTATCCTCTTTAGCCTCATGCTCTGTAGTATCCAGTTCTGACTTAACAGACATTAGCTTTTTCTCAGCTTTCTCCTTCATCTTCTCCAGTTTGTCTCTCGATTTATTTAAGTCTTCAATAGCTTTGGTCTGTTCCAAAGCTTTAATCTAAGACGTCAAGAGAATACTGGTCATTTCTTTCATATTCATTTAGGAAAATTGTATAAACAAGACAAGTCAGAAGTCAATGGAATTCACTTAACTTTTTTTATGAATGAAGAATAGAATCCACTCCAGTTATACAGACTTTGCTAAGCATATATGCTGGACAATCAAGTCTTAAGACAGCTAGAGTTTATAAACAGCATACTGGAGAACCACTATTTGGAAAATACATGAGATAAAATGGTAGATAGCATGATTCCGGGGTTAAGTATTAAAATAAAGTCTGCAGGCACTCACACGCAGGCTCTAATGAGCTCCACGGGTGAAAGCAACTTGCACTTTTTGCTCCTACCAATGAGTCGTCCTTGGTACAGAAAGATTAGGAAGAGCAAAATACCTCCTCTTCTAGTGGTTTGCCACAAGGAAGCCCCACCTAAAATCCCCTTGGCAAGTCATCATCGCTGCTGTGAGGAAAATTAGCAATTTTTCAAAAGAAATTTCTTCTGACTTTACCAATGAGTATGGGAGGTGAGAGGCGGCCACAGCACTCCACTGAAAACAAGAGGGAAGGAATGGTACGTCTCTCTAAGAAGCTGTCCCAGGATCTTAAAGCCAAAACAGAGCATCTTGGATTATGAGGACCATTTTCTTTAGTAGGTTAATATTTCAAATTATGCGGATCTGCTTACAAAAGGAATTTGAGTAAAAAGGAACAAAATTCTGATATATACTACAACATGGATGAGCCTTGAAGAGATCATAAGTGAAATAAACCAGACACAAAAAGAGAAATGTTGTATAATCCCACTCATATGAGATACCTGGAATAGGTTAATTCACGGAGATACAATATAGCATAGAAGTTGCCAGGAGCTGAGGGAATGGGGAGTTAGTATTTAATGGCACGAAGTTTCCATTTAGGACAATGAAAAGTTCTAGAAATGGATAGCGATGATGGTTGCACAACATTGCAAATGTACTTAATGCCACTGAATTGTAGACTTAAAAATGGTTTAAAAGGTAAATTTTATGTTATGTATATTTTACCACAATTAAAAAAAAGAATTTGAGGTAGTTCTGCATAATTAGACACAAAATTTGTTAAACTGACCATTAAAAATAAATGTGAATGAGCTACCACTTAATCATAAGATGGCTATAATCAAAAAGACAGACAACAACAAGTGTTGGTGAGGACGTGGAGCAATCGGAATGCTCATGTACTGCTGATGGGAATGTAAAATGGTGCAGGAGCTATGAAAAGCAGCTTGCCAGTTTTCAAAATGTTAAACATAGAGTTAACATATGAACTAGCAATTCTACTGCTAGGTGTATAAATCCAAGAGAATTGAAAACTTAAGTCCACACAAAACCTGCACACGAACGTTCGTAGCAGCACTAATTATAACCACCAAAAAGTGAAAACAACCCAAATATCCATTAACTGATGAGTAGATAAATAAAATGCGGGTATAGCCATACAAAAGAATATTATTCGGCAAGAAAAAGGAGTGAAGTACAGATACATGCTACAACATGGATGAACCTTGAAAACATTATGCTCAGGGGAAGAAGTGAGTCTCAAAAAAACACTTATTGTATGATTCCATTTGTGTGAAAGATCCAGAAAAGGCCAGGGGCTGGTGAAAGTGGGAAATGGGGAGTAACTGCTAACAGGTATGGGGTTTCCTTTTCATGATGAAAATGTTCTGAAATTAGACAGTGGTGATTTTTACACAACTCTGCAAATATACTAAAAACCATTGTGTTGTACACGTTAAGAGGGTGAGTTTCACAGTATGTAAATTATATCTTGATAAAGCTATTATTGGAAAGTGCACTTACAAAGAAACCTTTAAAATGCATCAAAATAAATAACTGAAATAAACGAAGAAGTACAAATGGAAGGAATAGACAAAGAACAAAGACCAGGAGAGCTCTGAATTTCGTTCTGAGCTTCCTAACAGTTCTGACAAGACCTACAGGCATATTCTCAAAGAAAAAGCATAATTTTATGTTTCAATTTTGTTGAAAATCATTTAAAAGTTAACAAAGAAAAGTGATAAAAGATACCAAAGAATGAATTTGAGTAAAATTTGTTTGCTGTCTTCTCTTTTTTCCCATCTCTTCTTTTCTAAGAAGGGAGGATGCTTTCTTGCTGCATCTGCCCGCATCCTGCTGTTCCTAGGGCAGAGTCTCGGTTAAGGAGAGAGTGTCAGAAAGGAAGAGAGCCTGAGAGACCAAACTGGTCTCCATGATAAAGAGCTGAGAGACAAGTGAGAAGAAGCAGTCTATGTTAACTAGGCCGCAGGAGCTGCTTTTTGAAGAATCTTGGAATGAGGTGATAGCAGTGTCACACAGCAAGGAAGTAAGAGAGAAAGAGAAATGGGGAAAGATGCTTAAAAATATTCCCACTCCTGATGAATGAAAGCCACCTTTGTATTTCTCTTTTCTCTTTTTTTTTCTTTTTTTGAGTAATGATAATAAAGCTAATAATCATCATTTAGTTGCTGGACTGTTGATTATTTATTGATGAAGGATTTTGAGACTGTTGTGATTTATCTAGATTACATTTGGAAGCTACTGTCAAAGGCTAAAATCTTTACCGAGGCTCCAGCTTAGAGAGCATCTTCACTGTGACCGAGTATCAGAATTATGGCGCAAGGAGCACAAGTTGACCTGATTTAAACTCTGAAGTTTCCTCCAATACCACTGGAAAGTCAGAGGAATGGTAGAAACTATTCTAAGATCAGAATTATGATATGAGATGGGGGAAAAGTGACTGCTTGGGATATAGATGTCTAGGTGGAAAATCAGATTTATATCACCTTGTGTGACTTCACTGAATTGAGGAAGTTGGAATCAAGTACTTGAGTCAAATACCTAAACTGGAAAGTTGATTTTACCTACTATAACACATACAACTTCTTAAGAAATTAAATTTCTTCCCAGGGAGAGGAGGTCAATGGCAGACATGCTTGGACAAGTTCAAAACTTTTGAACTGGTTCCATGCAAGAGAGAGGAAATCTCTTGGGAAACTGACAGCTGCTCTGAGACCTACAATCAAGAAGGGTTAAGAACAACCCTTGTAGCTTGGGAAATATGCAGGAAACAAAGTATCAACAACAGCTGGAGAAGGGACCCTGGGTCAGCTTCTTAGTCGATGAAATGGCACCAGCAGAGCAGCACTTGAGACAAAGAAAAGACACCCACGAAGTGCCGGTCTACAGGGCTGACCATGGAGATCATTCATGGATTCCCAGTTATCACATCAAAATCAAAATCAAAAATTAGATCCTAGCATATTAGAGTATTTTCTCTATGTTGGCTCCTGAGTGTGATGACCATATTGTGGTCACACGGAAGAATTCACTTGTTCTTAAGAGATACTTGGTAAACATTTAGGAGTGAGGTGTCATGATGTCTACAGCTTACTCTCTTTCTCTCTCTCTCATTAGGCAAAATATAACAAGCAGTATAACATTAACAATCTACATGAACAGGAAAAGAGTGTCTGTATACTCTTCTTGCAACTGTTCTATAGATGAAATTTTTCAAAATAAAAAGTCGGTAAAGGGAACTTTCCCATGCATGATCAATACATGCATAATGCATCTTCTCAGTAAAAATGTTTGAATATATATGTGTATTTATTTATAAATTACATAAACAACTGCTCTAAATAGGTAGGTTGTCAAATAGTTTACAAATTGAGGACATTAGATGGATGAAATCAATATCAATTTTGAAACCAAGTTATCTCCCTTTAAAACAAAGAGATTCCCTTCACGTGCCAACTCTCCCACTACGGCAGAGAAAATCTGTGGCAAAGCGGGATGTTGCTGGGATTGGAATGTTGAATTCAAAACCTTGAGTTAACAGAGAGGAGATACATTCAGCCTTTCTGCTCAGATTGGAAAAACATGCACAGTGGGCCATCTACCAAAGGCGACAGAACACAGCTTGGAAAGCTAGGAACACATAAATCAAGTCCTAATGAGAAGAATTTATAGCCAAGAATTTCCGAAAAATATGAGACTTTATCACAATCCTGAGGGCTGCCTGAATTCTTGTTGTCAGGGAGCAAGAGCAAGTAATGAAGTTCTGAGCCAAGCCACCAGGTCAGAAGTGGGAGCCAGCAGCGGGGATGAAGGCCTCAGCCTCCTAAGTCAAACCCAACAAACAAGATTCCAGGGAGCAAGACAGGGCTAAGTCGGTTTCTTAATTTTCCTAAGGGAGCTTCTCAGATCCAGCCCAGAGTTCAGTGAGAAACCGTGTCCTTAACATTCTTCCAGTGGGACAGAGCCGGTCATAAAGAAGACTGAGGTGCCACCCAGACCCCAGCGAGGACAGAGAAGATTCCAACTGTGCTTCGTTTCCGGTCAACATCATATCTAGTGTCTGCCTCCTTGAGGGAAAGAATTGCAAAATCCGGTGAACAATTCTCTCTCATGTTACAAGGGCCAAAGACACTTAAAGAGAAGGTGATTCAATTTAGCATTTGATGTGTTGAACCTCCCAGAGGAGCTAAACTCTCCAGCTGGAGGGTTTTCAAGAGGCTGCATTGAAAATCCTATCCTGCAGGAGCCAGGCACTGCACACAGGCTCTCTAAAGGAGGTGGGGCAGCAAAGTAGGAGTGTTTCCCAGGTGCCCAAATAGAGGCTGTGCCCCGTCTAAAGAGAACCATAGAGATTTAACTAGGAGGAAACAGTAGCAGAAATCAAAGGAGGATGTTCAACTTTGCAGTCTGCGCACACCTCCACTCCCCTACCACTCCACACCCGAGAATGTTCCTTCTTGCAGGTTCCGCTTGGGGCATACATTCAAAATGGGGAGAGCTCAGAACAATTCAAGATCAATGAATCTACATAATCAGAGTTGAGTCCAAGATGGTAGGTTAGGAAAAAAATATAAAGAAAGGCTGCACTGGCTGGTCTGGAGAAAGTTCTGGAGGCAAGAAGGAGCATGGGGAGCAGCTATCTTGTGTGGAAGATTATCAAG